GGGGGGTGAATAAAGGCCTTCTGTAGTGAATTCATGCGTTTTTGTAATAAAAATATCCATATTTCAAATGTAATAAACACTTTTCTCTCACTTCCGGTGTCTGTCATACGCGAAAGGCGTTCCGGCGGAAGGCGTATGACGTATGCTCAGAGCGTGCACCTCTTGAGATATGCTAGTCTTGCGAGTTTGTTTATAGGAGCAAAGGAAGCAAAGTTTCCTAACTTTAGCAAAGGAAAACCAGTCTCCTCTTGGCTTATATCGAAATCCTCCGACATTTTTGGATTTGTTTCTTACAAACACACAGCTTGTAGCTTTTCAACTGGATTTGTGTGGATCTCATATAGATTTTTATGATGTTTTTATCAGCTGTTTGGACTCTCATTCTGATGGCAACCATTCACTGCAGAGGATCCATTGCTGAACAAGTGATGTAATTCTAATGTTTAATACATCTACATCTTGGACATCCTGAGGGTGAGTAAATTTTCAACAAATTTTCATTGACGGATTGCTTTTGTTTCGCTTTTATAAGTTACTTTGGATAAAAGCATCTGCTGAATGCATAAATAAGTAAAAATAAATAAATGTAATCTTTAGCAAATCTCAATCCCATTTTTCATACTGTACATTATAATGTGAGATCAAAATTAATCGAAAGTATTTAAATTACTTGATTTTGCTATTGTTAGTGTTTTTTTTGTTTTTTTTTAGACAAAATACTACACAATGTTAATGTTAAACATGAAATGAAAATAATTTTTTGAGGGTGAGTAAATTTTCAACAAATTTTCATTGACGGATTGCTTTTGTTTCGCTTTTATAAGTTACTTTGGATAAAAGCATCTGCTGAATGCATAAATAAGTAAAAATAAATAAATGTAATCTTTAGCAAATCTCAATCCCATTTTTCATACTGTACATTATAATGTGAGATCAAAATTAATCGAAAGTATTTAAATTACTTGATTTTGCTATTGTTAGTGTTTTTTTTTGTTTTTTTTAGACAAAATACTACACAATGTTAATGTTAAACATGAAATGAAAATAATTTTAAAAATTCTCTATGCATATGCTATGCAAATGTATCTATGCATATGCTGCTACTATTACACACCATCAATAAAAAAGCAACATTTTTGGACACAATAGTCAAAGTTGATCATGCATGAGATTATCAGCTTCACATGCAAAAAAACGTAATTATAGCACAGACAAGTCAGGGCCTGACCTCTTTGGTCCATTCGGTCATGACATGGGTGCTAGGGGTCCGAAAATGCAAGTTGAGCACAATTACGCAATTCAGCACCACCACAGTGACCAGTACCATGATAAACATCAGATACCTGTCAAATTCAAAAAATTCATTTTATTACTATTTTATTCATTTTATTACTATTTTACTGTTGCTAATAGATAAATAACTTCTTTAAAAAACACTGTGTATGTGTTTAAAATCAATACTTTAGTATTGTCAATAGCTTTATGAATTTATTTATATATTAGTGATACTGAAACATTCTCATGCAATATATCTGATATTGGCATACTTCACAATTAAGGGAACTGCCATAGACGTCTCAGGCAGACGCTGTGAAATTAGCAGCAGAAACACAGACTGAGCCAGCAGCACAGAGATGGACAATGTCATCTTCTCACCACCTGAAACAGGAAAAAGATGTAATGACATACCGTTTTGTAACATATATGGATTTTAATATATGTAACAAACAAACATATATGTATTCTGATATATGTAACAAACATATTAACTGCTTCTTTCAATACTCTGTCATGGTATTTCTGTCATATTGTGACAATATGGGGTCTATGAGCTTTAAAGTGTAGTAAACGGCAGGATCACTCACTGTCTGCAGGCAGGTAATAGACGAGTGAGGCCAGGAAAGAGATGAGCACGCAGGGAATGATTATGTTGACAACGTAGAACAGAGGTTTACGTCTAATGATGAGGTAAAAGGTGATATCCTGGTGCTTGTTGCTTTCAATTGGGATGTTTTTATAAATGTTTTTCCTGGCAGGCTTGTGAACAATTTCCCACTCGCCATTTTCTGCAAGAAAGGAGACAGATAGATTGTGTATTTGGATGAAACAGCAGAAAAAGATAAAAATCTTTCTGTCAGATCTCACCTGTGAATCCCTCAGGATCAATAATGATCCATTCCACCTTGTAGGACTTTCCATCCCCGTCCTGCTCCTCTTTCAGATGTAAGCTAATCTCTTTGGCATTGTAAGTTAATGAGCTGATAGAGACAGAATGAGTGGCGTGGGGGTCATTAAGCAATAAAATACATGAAGTAATTCATGCAGCAGGTAATAATATGTATAAACATACTACAAAACGTACCTAAACTTTAGTGAGCAGTTCTGCCAATCAAAAGGGAAGTAGTTGACGTTTATAGAGCAGGAGCTTCGAAATATAGCTGGAGGCAACCAGTACACATATCCACTGGGATAGATCAATACGTTGCAGTAATAGGCCACCTGGAACTGGGCATCATTGCTATTTTAAAGAACCATGAAATCAAAAATTAATGTAACTACTTTCATACAAAACATAAATATCGAGGAATAAAACATGACGGAGAAAGATAGCCTACTTGTTTTCAAGAACAATCTCTGGTAACCACACCATACTTGGCGGCAGGCGCAGAACAGGAATGTTATCAAACTCGGTTTCATTCCACTCAAGTCTATAATCAGTCCAGCCCTTAAAAAAACAAGAGTGAAATATATTAGTGAACACATATATTCTATATTAAATACTAAACAAAAAATATATAAATAAAACAATACATTAAGGAATTCATATAATGTACTTACATGCTCCATCCACACATTTGTTAGTAATGTTTCATCAACTTCTTTCTGTCATGGAAAAACATCTTTGTTAGACTGGCACAGTATCAGACAATATTTATTTGACATACTCTATATTACAGTATGAAACAGTAAAATTCCATACTAATATTTCTGGTTTATAATATCTCCCCTGCTCTGTGTACAAAAACTGTTTACAGTGGCAATATTATGTACTCACCAAGGAAATAAGATTAGAAAGTGTCAGTGCCAGATAAATATCTACAGTATCATCTTTATTTTGGACCGGACGAAGCTCTTTGTTGTAGCCACGCTCCTTAAAAAGATAGTTGATGAGGCGTTCCTCTTCATTCCGGCCCCAACATTCTGCAAAACAGAACACATCTTCACCTTTCAGAAAGTTTTATCAAATGTATGTATTTGGGTACCACATTTTTATGAAGAAAATAGCTATATGGATGTAGTACTCTTACAAAACAACAAAATTGTAGAGGTATGCTACTCTAAAAGTATTTTACATTGTCATCGTAAAAACATAATGATCATATTCTACTGATTCAATAACAATCTTTTATATAATGCCATCAGCATTCAGTCCTTAGTTAAAGTGCTATAACTTACCATTTAGTAGTTGTGTTGCTATATAAGCATGAAAGAACAGCTGACAGATAGAGAATATTAAGCTATTAAATATTTATTTAGTTTGTCCTACCTTGGAGAAAGAAGAAAATCAAGGACACCGTCAACAGATGAAGAGTATGTATTTGGGTACCACATTTTTATGAAGAAAATAGCTATATGGATGTAGTACTCTTACAAAACAACAAAATTGTAGAGGTATGCTACTCTAAAAGTATTTTACATTGTCATCGTAAAAACATAATGATCATATTCTACTGATTCAATAACAATCTTTTATATAATGCCATCAGCATTCAGTCCTTAGTTAAAGTGCTATAACTTACCATTTAGTAGTTGTGTTACTATATAAGCATGAAAGAACAGCTGACAGATAGAGGATATTAAGCTATTAAATATTTATTTAGTTTGTCCTACCTTGGAGAAAGAAAAAAATCAAGGACACCGTCAACAGATGAAGAAAGCTTCTCATCATGTCATGCCGTTGTATGACTTCCTATCACTGTTTTTGTCGTGCCCATCCAGGGCTTTTCTGAACAGCTTTTCCCTTGACTGACACAGACAGGTGTGGAATCAATCCAGAGAGGAAAAAAGCACACACATAATGTCCAATGTTGACTACCTGCACTAAAGAGACTGTAGGGGGTGCTCAACAATATTTAAGGGCCCAAAATGAGTGAGCGAAGTGGTCAAGAAATATATATGTCCTTTTCCCAACACTCGTTCTTATCTCAACCAAAAAGTCGACCCAAACCACCCCTCGTAAGCTGTGAGATGCCAACAGCACCGCTCTCCACTTTTGTCCACATGGCTAGTCTAAAAATGGATCAACAACATTCCAGTGGTGATCCTACAGCAGGCCACCTGTCACCGAAACGGAATGTGTTTGCACAGACTGTGAGTCTTTAAAGGGGTCATCGGATGCCCATTTTCCACATTCATGTTGTTTGAACATAAATGCGTGTCGACAGTGTGTGTACACAATATATATTCATAAAATACGTTTCACAAATGCAAAACACAATTCACAGATGTGCAAATGTGTACAAAATTTTTGAATGTAAAAAATTCACGAGTTTATCATGGGCTGTGAATGTGAATGGCCTTGGATTTGTGTGTGTATTTTTGAGACTTTCCTGGCAGCAAACTCCTCCCACTCGTTCTCGTTAGCCAATCAGATTTGAGCCTGTCAGTCGACCAATCGTAACCCACTGTGGGTGTATGAATCGCGTGCCCTGGGCGTGCCTACCTGGATGCTGACGTCATCAGCGCGAGACCACCGTTCAAGTTATGATTCAGCAGAGGTGTGTGCAGTTGATCGTTTTATTTCAGTTAACTAGCCAAGTAAAGGTTTATCGTTTTATTTTTGCATGTTTACTTAAAACTTGGAAGTTAAATCGGTCGTTTAGACACTCAAAAATGTGAATAATGTAAGCCAGAGGCTGCTATGAATACAGATAGTGTTCCCAAACTGAATAATCTTTGTTGCATTCTTCTTTATGATCAGTCTTTGTCTGACCAGCATAAATTCCACAACTGTTACCAAGCAGATACAACTGCTGCTTATCAAAATCATCTTGTGATGTAAAAAATCTTTGAGATTACAATACACAACACAACATAAGAATAACAGTAACAATGGTTAATCACAGTAATATAATATGAAAAGTGAATGAATGTTGATTACATTAAGAAATTAATACATAAAGGTGATGTATCCTTTCTTCATTTTGGCCAGACATTGTAGCTAACACAAGACAGCTGCATTTTTGGCAACACTATCTGTATTCATAGCGGCCACTGGCTTACATTGTTCACGTTAGCGAGTGTGTAAACGACCGATTTAATTCCAAGTTTTAAGTAAACATGCAAAAATAAAACGATAAACCTTTACTTGGCTAGTTAAAATAAAACGATCAACTGCACACACCTCTACTGAATCATAACCTGAACGGTGTTCTCGCGCCGATGACGTCAGCATCCAGGTAGGCACGCCCAGGGCATGCTATTCATACTTCCACAGTGGGTTATGATTGGTCGACTGACAGGCTTAAATCTGATTGGCTAACGAGAACGAGTGTCCCGCGTGGGGAGAGGTTCGCTGCCAGGAAAGTCTCAAAAATACACACACAAATACAAGGCGATTCAAATTCACAGCCCATGATAAACTCGTGAATTTTAAACATTCAAAAATTTTGTACAGAGTTGTACATCTGTGAATTGTGTTTTGCATTTATGAAACGTATTTTATGAATGTATATTCCTATTTTGTGCACGTGAATTGGTTTTTGTGAATATATATTTTTTTTT